CTAGTTAATAGTTCAGCAATTTTACAATTTTGAATTCTTTAAAAACTCTCCAGTGAATGCCATCCAGACATATGACGTTACATTTTAATTGTAACTCAGCTTTAACATTTCATCCTTTGTCACCTCCATTTGACATAGTTCTTCAAAACTCTATTTATCTAATCACATTTTGTGCAGCAAGGATTGATGCAAACTTTGATTCAGCTACTGTGCAATGTCTTAGTATTTTCTTGGCCAACATTTGCCATCTAACTCCCATGGCCACAAACAAACTACGCTGCGTGTGGCAAAATTTCTAACAGCTGTTGTCAAATGAACTATGCTGCCTTGCCCGATCACAGCTCCAGTCTCTGGATTTAAGTATCCAGAGACAAACACACACACATGAGTGCATATAATATTTTAAGTAAAAATAAATAAATAAAATGACACAATCATTTCCCATGCTAATGCCAAATGGAAGCTGATGGCAGTGGTGTGTAGTTATGGGCAAACTCCTGTCTCAGTTCACGACTGAATTTCCAGTTATGAGTACCAACCTGGAATGACTGGCCTCAAAGTTCATGTGAATGTAAAGTCTGAGGAGGGCTATGCTGTGTCTTTAGTATATTTATTTTACTTAATTTATTTCCCTACCTTTCCCCCCAAAGCAGCTTACATTGTTCTCCTTTTCTCCGTTTTCTCCTCACAACAACTTTTTGAGGTAGGTTAGGCTGAGAAAGTATGGCTGGCCCAAGGTCACCCAGTGAGCTTCCATGGCAGAGTGGAGATTTGATCCTGGGTCTGCCAGATCCTAATCTGATATTCTAACTACTATGCTGCATTGGCTCTTTCTACTTGGACAGAGAACTATCAGTGGTTCCTTACTAAGAGTACCCAGAACATTCTCTTCTGCCAAATTTGATGTGTCTAATCACTGGCAAAGCATCAAAACAGATTTTGACTCTGCCTTTTCTTCACTCACCTCATTTTACCATCTCTGTAATTGTTTAATACATATTTTGTTATGTGCTTATTTACCTCTTCATGTTACGCAGGAATACAAAGAAATGATGGAATGGATGGACAGGAATTTTTTCCTCCTTATTCTTTATTCTCATTCTTTTCATAAAACGAGAAATCGGAATGTTCAAACATTCTAGTCCTGGGAGTGAGTGAACGAATGTGGACTGGATTAGGACATTTTCAGTCATAAAATTACAAAGAATTGCAAAGAAAATTACAAATCCTGGAAATGACATATGGCATGGATTGAGCAATCAAGGTAGCCAGGAGGGCCCTCAGTTTGCAAGACCTGAGCAAGGCTGTTAATGAGAAGACGTTTTGGAGGTCATTAATTCATAGGGTCGCTCAGGGGGTTTTTTGTAGAAAAAGCCCAGCAGGAACTCATTAGCATAATAGGCCACACCCAATAGCAGAAACACATTAGCATATTAGGCCACACCCCTGACAGTGCAGCTCATTAGCATATTAGGCCACACCCCACATGTTACCAGAAGTGTGGTCATCCAACCACACCCTCCTTTTGCTTTTTATTCTGTTTACCTTGTTTGTGGTCAAAACCCAGGGCTTTTTTGTAGCAGGAACTCCTTTGCATGGCACTTAACTCATGCACACAATTCTTCATAGAATTGCACACAATTCTTCATAGAATTGTGTAACCAAAAAACCCCCAACAACCCAGGTTCCTGCACCACAGAATTTTTATTTGGTGTTAAGGGAGGTGCTTAGAGCTACCTCATGCTGGTTATCTGGAGAGGTGGCATGGACATTTTCTAAATAAACAATAACAGATGTTGTCTCAAAGAGAACAGTTGTGGGGAAAAGAGGGAAAAGGGAAATGTAAAAGGAATACTATTTGAGCAAGTATTTTGTATATGTGGGGTTTGTTTAATTCAGGAATGATGATAAGAGTGTTAAGATGAATATTTCATAGGGAGAGATGTTTGTAAACTTTCAAGGAAGCTGAGTCACTCAGATATGATCACAGACCGAGACAATGTACCACTTGATAGGAGCACTGATATTTTTTAATCTGAACTCTCATAATGTTTTTTAAAACTTTTTTTAAAATCTCATTACAGTTTTTAATTGTTCCAGTTTTCTTGAATGACAAAAAGATGACCTTTTCATCATAAACTGTGTCAAACCCCAGTAGGCAGGTAAAAGCACTGCAAAAGCGGTGGCCTTTTTATGTTGTAATCAGGAAGGATTTTCTTTTCAAGCAATGCTTTGATTAATGTAAGCTAATAATTGTAAGCCATGTAACGTGTAGTGGATTTCAGTAGTACAACTGATTTGCTGATTACAGGTTGATAGATTTCCCTTAAAACTTAGAGAAGGACAAAATAATTGCATGTGAAGTGTTCACCTTTGGGGGGGGTGTAATTAGATGGGGAAAGTTGGGGGAGGGCTATAAAGAATCCTGAGGAGGAAGATAAAAGATTGGAATATTTTATTTGTAACCAAATATCATCTTCCAGAATTCTATAAAGGGCTTCAGCAGTCCAAAATTTCCACCCATGCTCTATTGTCCCAATCTACACATTGTGTAGAATGACATGGAAGAATTCTGGATTGTATCACTCCTGACTGATTGTGGAGGATTGCATTTTTCTATTCTCCCCAACATTGATCAGTGTTGGCATTTAATAGATAGCACATCAGGGAGAGGGCTACACACACCCTTCTCCCTGATGTTCTAGTCAGCTGCAGGCAGGAAGGTGTTGTGTTTGTTTGTTTTTTAACGTGGGAGGACCATTCAAAAATATAAATTTTCTATGTGCATTCTGAAGTTGAATAATCCAGAATTATGCTCCCTCAGTCTACCACCTCATTTTGAATAACAAGTTGGGTGAGCCAGTGAGGAATCATTGGAGGCACAAGTGATATCTCTCTCTATCTCTCTCTCTCTCTCTGGTGTAGTAGTACAAAATAGTTGAGTTATTGGGCTTAAATGTATACTTTCATGCTCATTTAGCTCTGAACCTCAGCAGCTTCATGCTCTGCCACAATTACTGTATAGCACTGACAAAAACTGCTTATCTAGCCTGAAGTTTTGCTTATGATATGTGCTTGACCGCCAACTTTGTTAATAATGGGATTATAGTGACCTGAGAAGGGCACTGTTGGTCAGAGTGCAAGGAAAGCTTGTCTGGGACCCTCCAAAATGGGGGAAGAAACTTTGAGTGCTACCAGCCACAGATGATTTTGGTGGAAATGCTTTTGCACAGCATGTTACTTAAGATGAGTGATTGCAAAACAGACAAAAGAATTTCTGGATTAACCCTTCTCCTCCACTTCTGAGATACTGGTACTGAGCACATTGGAGGTGCAGCTGAATGCTCAGAGAAATGTAGCAACAATGTATTCTTGCTAAAGGAAAAAGTTTGTCTAGATATGAAAGGTGGAGGCATAGGTGGGATTTTGGAATCAGTTCTGTTCTGCTTGTAGAGTCAACTGACTCAGGCAAAGAGAGATTAAAGCATAAACACACCAGACTAGATAAATGTATTTCATAGCACAATCTAAAATACCGTATAGTTGGATGGTGTAAACACTGGTTCCAGCCTTCCTTCTGCCTTCTCTAAGAGTGTACATTTGGCAACAATTAGGTCAGGGGTATCCTCTCTGTTTGGTCCATTCCTCAGGAATGGCCTACCAGATTGGGAGAGGTGAGGCCCTCACTTGTCACCTTTGGGAAGGCATGTAGGACTTTTTGTTCCAGAGGGCATTTGATGGAGGATAAAGTTTTTGGCATTTAACTGTGTGCTTTAATTATGTACTGTGTTCTTATTGCTAAATGTTCATGATGTTAGTGTTCTTACAGCTTTTCCTGCTTTGCTAGCTGCCTTGAGTTTGTGGGGATAAGGTGGGGTGTAAATAATTTAACTTGTAGACAGGGATCGAACAGAGAGCCAATGATTAGGTAACAAAGAGCCAATGGCTAGGTTTGAATTCTAGAACCCAATTATTCCTTTGGCGTCTTTCCAGAAGAAGAATTGCTTTTCCCCTTCTTCTATTAATTTTTTTTTTTGCAACATCTGCCTGATGAAGGGTTTGCATAATGTGTTGTGTCGTTTGGGTTGGCTTAAGAAAAAAGTTTTACCTGATTTTTTTGTTTTTTCATTTTCCATGGGCCAATACAGCTGTTTACATCTTATTTTCAGAAGAAAACTGGGGACTATTTCCCTTCCCTAGGGTTAATTGAGGTTTTATAGTCCAATCTAGAGGGGTCATGGACTGTTCACAAATTGTTCCTGCTAGCTAGCCCAGGATACTGTGTTCATTTGGACTTATTAGTCTTTTGAACATCAATGGTTCCTGCCACACGGCAGGAAAAGTGACGGGTGAACTGCGGCTAATCTGAGCCGCACCAAAGTTGAGACGACTCGGCGGGATCCCATGGATCCCCTGAGCCGCGGCGCTGTCGCTCCCCGGCACAATCAGATGCCGGGGAGAAAGCAATGGTGGGAAGGGGAGGCTGGCGAACTGCGCATGCTCACACATGCGCAGTTCAGCCAGGAGCAGGGGATACGCCGGCACAAGGATGCGCCGGCGATCCCACGGCCGCACTTGCCGTGGCCCGTCAGCATGAACCACCCAGGTAGGTGGTTCTTTTTTGGTGCGGGGTTTCGGGCGGGCGGGACGGAACGGGGACGGCTGGGCAATGATTCCCAGATGTTGCCGTGGGATCGCGCCCATTTGCCGTGCATCCGTTCCGTCCCTCTCCCGGCCCATTTCCTCGCGTGTGACCGGGGCCAATATTACTCTCTCCTGGATGGCCCATCGAGTTTCCTGCCAGCTGTAGCAGCTTCATGGAGGTTTGTGACACAGACAGAGATTAGTTCAAAACATGGAGAAAAAGTATCTGGGGAAGTGGGATGTCTCCCATCCCCACAAGGGTCAGGGGAAGATAAAGAATTGTGAAAAACTAAAAACGGTTTCACCCCAACTGTATCTTTAAAATGTCCTTTACTCTTGTTTTGTCTTTTTAACAGGGTCCGTCTTGCTGGGAAGATGTCATGATTCCAGACAGAATAACTGGTGTTTGCCAGTCCCGAAACTGTAATGGGGAAGTAGCTGTAAGTGACTGTCAAAATGTCATGATTATCAAAAAGCAGCATGAGTCACTTAGAGAAATTAAATACAAGGACTAAGTTGTCTTGTGTTGTATATTTTAATAGAATTGTGATTGATGAAGGTCATCCACTTGAAACAATATAACATCAATGTTTTAGAAATGACACTGTAGTGAAATCTACTGAAGTGGAAATCTAAATTGTCACGTTTGGTTGTGTATTCTCATAATATGTCTAAGTGCTACATCAAAATGTGCACATACATCAACAGTGTGGTAAGAAAATGACCTTTAAAATAAGATAAATGTCTGTTTGAACTTGTAAATACTACAGATGGTCCTTTCAGCACATCAGCAGCTTTTTTGTACACAAATGCTGCTGCTTCAAATTGTCATTTACTAATTACAATTGCCATCAAATTTTGCCTCAAGTGAAATATGAGGTGAATTTAGATGTGTCTGCCTGGGGAAGCTATCTAAGGAATTCTGAGGGAGACTGAAAGTGCATCAGTAAGACCAGAAACAAGCTCTGGGGATTTCACACATCTCTACTTGGGATATTTTTGTAGAAATAAAATGTACCTTATTGTCAGTGGAGTGTTTGAGCAAGCAACAAAGCTGTCTTTGAAAAACATCCTGGATATGTCATTTTTGCCAGGGTTTATGTATCATGAACAGAACTAAGCAAGCCCATTAATTTCACTGAACTCTGTCTATAGGAGCTGAAGCATGTCTAACTCTGAGCTGCTTTGTGGTATCATTTTAAATTATTATAAATATTTATATTCCACCTTATCTCCTTGTTCTCAAAGCAGCTTAAAAAAGAGAGAGAGAGCATGTTGGGAAAACGCACACAAAAACCAATCCATCAACAGTCTATCGACAAGGTAGAAATAACACACAAAGCAACAGGTTTTGCTACATAAAGGTAAAGGTAAAGGTTCCCTTGCTTGAAAGCCAGTCGAGTCCAACTCTAGGGTTGCGGTGCTCATCTCCGTTTCAAAGCCGAAGAGCCAGCGCTGTCCGAAGACGTTTCCGTGGTCATGTGGCCGGCATGACTAAACACCAAGGCGCACGGAACGCTGTTACCTTCCCACCGAAGTGGTACCTATTTATCTACTTGCAATTTCTTGCTTTTGAACTGCCAGGTTGGCAGGAGCTGGAACTAGAGACGGGAGCTCACTCCGTCATGCAGCAACTCGGGTCTCGAACTGCTGAACTACTGACCTTCCACAGCCTGCAGTTCAGCGTCTTAACCACTTGAGCCACCGCAGCTACATACTGAGAGCCAAAATAAACACGGATGTCACTGTATACTGCGAACTAACATTTGAAGGCATGTTGAATGGTAATAGTATTTTAACATTTATCCAGACCAGTCCCCAGAGTTTCCGAAGTGTTAAATATTCACATCCCATGCTGTGTTTGATGCTTCACTGATGAAGTCTGCCCATCCTACCACATGCCAAATTGAGTTCCAAGCAACCTTCTAACATGTAGCAAGGGATGATGATTTAATTTCAGCAATGTAAATGTTCTCTCCGGGGAGCCATTTCACTTGCAAAAGACTGGGAACAACCAGTGCTTTACCTAGAAATCTGACTTAAGCATTTCATCTCTGTGCCAAAAAGTGACTGCATTGTGATTACATTTAAAGTATGGCATGGCCCCATGCATAATTAAAGCTGGCAAAATAAATCTGGATAGAACTTTGGAACAAATGCTCTTTAAAATGTACCATGATCATCAATGGGATTTAGGACAAAAGGTTTGAGACCTGTGTTTGATTTCCCAAATGCTATATATCACTTCAAAATACTTTGCTTCTTTATACTACTCGGAAGCATTGATTGACTGTTTCGAAGAACGAAGCCATTCAGTCTAACCGCATTTTTTATTATTATTTGCCTGTAGCATTTTAGATTTCCCTAGGCAAACCTGCTTCAAGATAATCCTGGATTATTTGATGTGATCCTTAAATTTACTCTAGGATTATAAACAGATATATCTGAGTATGTCTCAATCCTGGGAATAACCTTACTAGGTCCTGGTAACCATAATCCAATTGGTGTAATCTTCTGAGAACATGGTATCTTTATCCTACAAGATTTTGACTGATTATTGTGATGGTAAGCATTCTGATCTGTTCTGAGTATTTAGGTACAAGGTAGATGGGGGCACTGTAAATACTTGCTTTATAATCTGAAAATAGAAATGGTTTTGCCTCAGAATATCACCCTGCTATGAATTCTACATAGCTAAACCCTAGCTATTCTCCTATATTTTGCTCAAAGTATTTTGAGTCCAGTGTGGAGGTTCCCACTCAGGGTAGAACATCCAAGGAATTTTCTGGGAAGCAAAAATAGTTTTAAGCTGCTGAAATTTCTTGGTGTTGTGTGAAAGGTGTATACAAACACTCCAAATCGCTACTGAATTTAACATTGTGTCATTTCAAGGATAATTTGGGAGTTTCTGCTTGTAAAGGCTGATGTAATAATCAAAAAGGGTATTGATGAGATTTCCTGAGGAGTGCCACACATCTCCACCGGCCATTAATTATTGCTGATGTAGATCCATAGTAAGAGAGTTCGAAATGCTTTTAAACATTCTTCAGAGCTTGTGCTTCCTACTATGTAGTGTAGAGGAGGCCCATTCCAGGTACTCACAGACAGCGCTTGTCCAATATGCTGATTATTCATAGCAAAGATAACCTTTCAGTGGTACCTTGCAATACGTGTAAATCTTCATTTCTGTCTTGCTGTTGTTGAGAGTTTGATTAAGGGTTCCAGGGAGGAGGAAGACAGGATTTATAGCTGTTCAGTAACCTCTGCAAATGCATCCCTTTCTGTTGATAATTAACTGTTCACAATACATGTTCAGAATGATTTGGAGAAATGGGCTGAAGAAATCTCTTCCCCTATAGCCTCCTTAACCCCATGAAAATATATTCCTAAGGAGTGGGCATCCTTGAAACAGAATAGTATTGGGGGGGGGGGCTACAGTGAGAAGGGGAAATTGCAGAAATCAGTTCCACACTTCTTGTGTGAATTCTTCTCTGAAAGAAGCAAGATCTTATGTAAGAGTGATCTCTGACATGTACCCTTTATTTCTGCAACCTCCTCATACTACATACCACTATATTCCCTGGCAACTAGAGGGTACGGGGGCGGGGGGTATGGACAAGGAGGGGGCACCATCAGTTATGGTGTGACATCACGTCCAGGAAAAAACCCAAAGTGCTGTTGCACCTCTTTAAGAATCACTGGATACTTTATGGTAAAACTGTAGAGTCCCCAGTGATTCCTAGAGTATACTAACATCACTTCTGGGTTTTCCTCGGAAGTGATGTCACACCATTGCCTACATCTTTTTAAAAAAGATTATTGTTCTCCCACTGGCTTCAGGAATGGCAGTGGGAAGCAGGAACCAAGGGTATGGGATCCCTGGCCCCAGGCAGAAAACTGGGAGCTCTATTCCCAATGGCCCCTCCCCCATTTGGAAAAGCATTTCATGGGGTTAAGGAATTGCTGGGTGAAAGCAGAAAGAACCATTTGTGAACTTCTTCCAGTCATGGTGTATATGATCCATCAGTATAGGAAGCAGTAAGTGAAGACAAGCAGGGTTACAAGCACTGAGGACTTTTGATTAAAAGTTCTCACGTTTATCAGTTCAACTTGGTGCTCTTCTGTGGTGTCTTGAGTGGTTCTTTTGTGCCATCAACCTTCAGACCTGTCCAAACACCTTCCCCCTTCAAAGTCTAAATGAAGCGTATTTCTATCATGTTTCTGGGGTGTGTTTTTCCCCCTGTATTTTTCTTTTCTAACTTGCAGTGTCATTATGGTCCACTGTTGGTGTGTTTCCTGAGGGACTGCAATCAAGTATTGTCTGGTAATCTGTAATGGTATTTGTGAGGTTCCAGAAGCGGCTCTCCCTGGTGTGCGGTCATGCTGTGGGAAGCAAAGAGGGGGCCAGCTGAGACCTCAGAATGCAAGCCATGAGGCTAATTCACCCTGTCAGTGCCTGCTCCCAGAAGTACCTCACTCTGTGTCCATCTCTCAGCCTCCAGTCTCGCCTTCCTCCCCAATATCAGCAGTCCGGCCCTTCTTATGCTTCCCTGTGCCCATGCCCATCCTCCCACCACCCATCTGAATGGCCTCCCTCCCTGTCTGTCTCCTGTCCCATCTTTCCCATGGGCCCCATGGGGGCCATATTTACCAGCTAGGCCTGCCTTCTGTCCCTGCCAGGCGTGGCCCACCGCTTGGTGGCTGGTTGGCATCTTGGGAGTCAACACCTTCACTTGCGTGCTGGGCTGTGTTGGGGTTAGCCTTCCTCTGGTGACAGGAAATCCAGGCTCTCCTCCTCCAGTTCTGCCCGTCTCCCCTGGACCTGGGTTCTGGTGCAGCCAGAAGGTGGCTTGCTTGCTCACATTCTGCTCAGCCGTTTGGTGGGGACTGTGATCAGCCCATTCGGCAGTGGCTGTTGGGACGAGCACATTTGGGCCCCAGGAGGTGACTCACCAATCTCCCTTCCTCACCCAAGTCGCTGCGGAGTGGAGCTGACATTGCCCAGCAACCTTGGTCGTTGGTGGGTCCAGGCCATGTCTCCTCATCCTGGGCCACTAGTCATGTTCTTATCTCATGTTGGATCTTCCTCTTTTCTTGCTGACTTCAACTTTTCCTAGCATTATTGTCTTTTCAGGCCATGTCTCCTCATCCTGGGCCACTAGTTATGTTATTATCTCATGTTGGATCTTCCTCTTTTCTTGCTGACTTCAACTTTTCCTAGCATTATTGTCTTTTCTGGTGTGTCTCCGCATAATCTGGTCAAAGTACAATAGCCCTAGTTTAATTTACAGGGGGAGTACAGGCTTGATTTGATCCAGAACCCACTTATTTGTCTTTTTTGGTGGTTCATGGCATCCATCAAAGTCTTCTCCAACTCCCTATTTCAAATGAAACAGGAACAGGAACTTTCTTCCTGTCAGCTTTCTTCATTGTCCACCTT